AGGGACGCAAAAACAAAGACTCCTCTTTTCAGAAATTGGGGTCCCCAGATGATATAAACATCATTGGAAATATTGTGAACGTTAAAGAAGAATTTATAAATATTAATCTGCAGCGGAAAGTGTGGGCATAAAAACATATGAGGGTAAAACCAAGTGCATGGCCACATCAAGAACGGACCGAAGGGATCGAATAGGGCAAAATGTGACGGTGGACCAATACAACTTCGAAAGAGTCCATGAATTTAAATATCTGGCTGCCACTACCACGTCAGACAATAACATGACCAAGGAAATTAACCTCAGAATACAAAGTGCCGATAGCTGCTATTTTGCATTACGGAAAGTAATAAAATCCAAAAATGTATCTCAGACTATTAAAATAAGATTATACCATTCCATTGTAAGACCGATTATGACGTACGCCTGAGAGACTTGGACATGACGAAACAGAACGAGAACAGACCGAGGATTGCAGAGAGGAAAATCCTACGGAGTATATACGGACCCACAAGGGGTGAAACCACACAACAATGTCGTAATAAGAAAAACAAGGATCTATAACAACTATATGATCAACCGGACATTGTGAAAATAATTAAAGCGGAAAGATTCAGTTGAGCCATGTCAAAAGACAGCAAAACGGAAGAGTTGTCAAATTAGTATGGAAGCAGGCCCCGACGGGTAGAAGACCATTAGGACGACCACCACTATGGTGGAGAGACAACTTAACATCAGCAGCAAGCAGAAAAGCTAATGATGAACAAGGCCCTGCGGAGGGAAATTGTTGAGTCAGCCAAGACGCATCCTGGGTTGTGAGAGCTACAGAAAGAGAGCGAACTGGTGGAGAAGAGCGGTTAATCGATATGCATATTTATTCTAGCAACCTATGTGCGAAAATGAATACAATATAAACGACAATTCAATTATTATAATTGGAAATAGCTTCCATGCGGAGCTCATTGAGCTTTAAGCGGGCTGACTCTCAATATTGAGCTTAAATTATGAACGTTATTTTTAAAGAAACACGGATTGGAAATCAGATGATCTAGACCGAGTTTCAAATTGAATACATGTAGTATAAAAATATTAAAATGAAAGTCGATGAACTAGTTGATCAGGATCTCTAATCATATTATAAAATTCCTGAAATTTTTACAATGTTACGCTTAAACGTGAAGTGTATGAAAACGGTCATATATCAAAAAGCTCTTAGCGTTGTAATCTTGAGCATGCACGGTCGGCATGGCATGTTTTATTACACATTTTAGGTTTCGCAGTTTTGCGGTTTATTTCAAGAATGCACAATCTGCAATAATGGCATCTAATGGCAAACAAAAATCTTTAATTCTGAATAAAATTTGCTAATATCTCAAGAAGAAGTTAATTTTACAGCTTTGGTTTTATAAAAGTATAACTAGAAAGGAAAACAATTAAACCAGAAAGAAATCGGTACCTATACTTATAGAAAGCGCTACAATAATAACAATAGTCGATTAAAATATTGTTATACTATTAATTCATTCCCACATGATGGAACAGACGTACGGATCAATTTTTAATCAAGTGTTAGTGAAAAGATCAGCTATGGTCTAGTATGGAACAATTAATAAATTACAATTAGACTACAATTATAGATAGATCGTATTTATAGAAATATGTTAATACCTAATATTATGAATTTATATTGATTGGTCTCCTTTCATAACCATACAAGACTTTGAACTTCCAATATAAAACCATCTTAAAACCAATATCCGCAATAGACCCCCGAAATTTCAGCTGATATTTAAATAAACTAGCTTTCATATCCTATGAGCAGCAGTATATGTATAGAATATCCAATAATGAAAGTACAAATGAAAGAAAAAAACTCGTTTGATTAAATTTAATATAAATTAGAAATAAAATAATGCACACCCAATACTATTCTCTAATGGAACTTCGTTTGCAACTGACGCTTGAATAGTCACAATATATTAAATTTGGTTTCAGGATGACGGAATCACTGGCGACTCTCAAGGAAATATTGATGTTGCTTTTAAGAAGATTAACAAAAATTTTGCCGACTTTCTTATTTGGAGGGTAGAAGTAAGTATAGTGACTATCATTGATTGATTAAGAATTATATCCTAGTAGAATTGATATTCAAATGTAGTTTATATCATTAATTTATTTTTAACCCCCGATTCAGTAAAGCCCATATATTCCAACAATGTTGTTTTGATTCGTGTATATCTTATGTTCAACTCCGCGTGTCCAATCTTAATTTTCGCTAATCAAAAGCATAGTTAAGACATTAAGAAAATAAAATAATAATGACGTAAGAGTTTGTTTGCTTGTTAAAAAAATTTGCCGTTGCATTTCTCAAAATTTAATGGCAAAAGAATCATGTTTCCTTGAGACTACGAAAGATGTTAAGAGTTCCTTAAGATTATCATTAAGTAACTTTTTGCACTGACGCTACTCAGATATTTCAATCGGTATAATATGATATATAAATTATTCAAATGTTTATTTAGTTTCCAAACCAAATGAACATTGAAATGAAAGTCGTGGCGCATCGACTATCGACCAATTTAGTCCAAATCGGTCACAATAATTCAAAGGAATCAGAGCATAAAAATAACATTACTTTCAGAAAAACGGAAAACTGTAAATGTACTCTCTGTACATTTACAGTATCAGTATTTATACACAGTGTATAAACGTTTGTACTTTTTATTTGATGTAAGTTATCCAAACCATATTTATTAAACTTTTTTAACGCTCGAAATATATGAAAGTTTTTTTGAAGTTTGTGTGATCTATGTGAAATTGTAAAAGTAAAACTGGATGTAAAAATGACGAATGCGAAAAGTATGATGTATATCTGTAAATATTTGTTTAGTCTTGATTAATCGAAATTTAGTATCAATAAGAAATTTTGTGTGAATTTTTTACGAAAATGTTGTTTWTAAAGCGGGAATTGTCTTAGCCATTTTCAAAATTATCTGAATGTAGCATAAATGACTTAAGAAAGAACTAWGTGTTTTATTTGGAAAAATAACTTTCGTTTTATCTTTCGTTTAGTWACAAGGTAGTCAATTACTGATTTGAAATTTTGGGAAGGTTTCGTCCAGGTGTATTTGTGTATTTTCCTGTGCTTTATAGCTTCCCAGTTGSTAATAAATTTTCTAAATTTTTTGTTGATCAAAATGGACACTTCAGTTTGTGCATSTTTTCSTTRGYAACTCCACTATAAAAATGRTCSTAMTGTCCKARGATTTCWGAYCTKTTCMWTGGTWCTGATYCTMSTGYGAGGTACTAYYTGCRATGTAMTKTTTCGACTTATTCCTTGCACGTTCCATGTACCAAAAATCATTGATTGTTTTTTTTTTTGTTGCTTGAGTCTTCTTGGGTTTTTCTTTCCATTCCGAGGCATTTCATTGGATTTTTTAGCACTGTTTTTGCCGAGTACCAGAGAGTTAGTAGCATGTCCCAGCCCCAACCTGGAGAACCAGGACATTTTTGATCGGGGTTTTCTTCCCCTAGCCTTTGATGATTCCAACATCGTAACTACAAGTTACCTCTGGTCGTTTCTTTTCTAATTTATTTTATCGTCTTCCAACTTTCGGTACTTCTTCGACCTCCTAAATAAGAGTCTATTTTCTGCCACTTTTGGATTCGTGCTACATTTTCCTTATCACTAATCATTCTTCTTACCATCGGTTGTGCGCACTTGAAATTTTATCTGGCATTCTCGGTTTTTTGAGATAAGTAAATGTAATACAGTTTTCTCTTTTCCTCTATTTCTTTCTCAATCTTAGGACAGAGTTTATCTAAAGATCTAGTAACAATTGAAAATAAAAATTTGTCGGTTTTAATCGAGCCATGCAAATGTGATTTAGAAGGCACATACATGTTGATCAGCTAAATTCTTAACAAGTTCCAAAAAATTTCTAAAATTGAATATAATATACGTTGTACCACACACATTTGCAAAAAAATAAGCTGCATCAATTTTCAACTTTTTTATTACAACAAAAGTGTTGTTACCAACGTATTAAAATGCTCCATTAACTTAAACAACAACGTTAAAACCAATCTTGATGGATGCGATAGAGTTGCGAACGTCTATACATATTCATGAAATGTATATGGAATATTTGTAGAATTTTGTACATGGGAAATCTAGTGTAGGCATTCAGAAATATTGCTGCATTTTTAATTCCAATCAGACAAATTGTGTAGAATTTGTAAATGCAAGATTTAGTTTTGTACGCTGTACAACCAGGATAAAATATATCCTTTGATTAAATTGGAGCTTGAGTATGAAAATCACATTGATCGTGGGATAAATCAATGGATATTAATTTTAACACTAGGAATTTCTCATGTTTTGCAGAACATGAACGTTCTTGCCCTTACAAAAGATCAATATGGTACGTTTTACGATACCGAGTCCTACATTATTTATGCAGCATCGCAATATGGACAGTCATCTGGAATTGACTCTGTAGTAAGTATTAAGAATACAAAGTGAACACATATTTCTTCAATCTGAAGTATAGACATGAGAATATAAATACCAACATTTAGTACTGCATCAGAAACTAAATTTAAATGTACTTATTGCGCTTCCAAACTTTAAAAATTAAAAGCAAACAATAATTTTATGAAATCATTTGTAAGGTTAGCAAGTAAAACCATTGATTGAAAGAAAAAACAGAACTTTAAAACTGAAATTTTCCTCCTAAATCTAATAGGCGCATGTAAATACGCGATCTTGCTGATGATCTTTGCTCCATAAATCACCATTATAAATTAAATGCATGGATATTATTTTATAGACTAGAGACATTAAAGGCAAAGAAATCGAGTACCATATACACTTCTGGCTTGGGCAAAATACTACCCCTGAAAAATCCGGAGTAGCAGCTTATAAAACTGTCGAATTAGATAGCATGTTGAATTGCTCCACAACTCAACACCGAGAAACTCAAGAAAATGAAAGCGACAGATTTTTAAGCTACTTTAAAACTGGTTATAGGTAACAAGAAATAAGCTTTGATTAATCAAATATTTACATTAGTGACCTGTTTAGAATTTTGAAGCCCGCAATCATCCAAAATGGGAACAAGCAACTGCCAAAATTGTACAGAGTGAAAGGGAAGTGTACTCCTGCCCTTATTGAAATGAACAGTGTGTCTTGGGAAAACTTTAGAAGTTCGGATGTTTTCATCATAAAAGCTCCGCAAACAGTTTTCGTCTGGGTTGGTAGAGCAGCTAATGTGGAAGAGAAACGTCATGCCACTATAGTATGTACCAATGATTTGAAAATACAAGAGTCACTAAATTATTATTAATTCAGATATCTCAAGAAATGAAAGACCAATACAAGATTTCAAACGTGGTTTTTGTCGATGATGGTTACGAGAAAACAATCGATTCGGACATTCAGAAACAATTCAGCAAGTATTTGCCATTAGAAAAACGAGTTGTTCTGCCAGATAATGGGAATGAAAATGGAGAAGCTGGAAACCCAAAGTACAATTTGCGATTGTACAAATGTTCCGAAAACAATGGAAAATATAGAGTGGCTGAAGTTAGAAGCGGACCTTTAAATTGTACGGATTTAAATTCAGATGTAGGTATAACTTTTTATATATACAAGGTGATATACAGTCGATGGCGTATGAGACGTTTAAGGAGAACTCGATGAAGACCGAATAGACCTCCGGATATGATCTATCGGGGTCTAAAATATTTTCAGCGACGCCAGGTTGCCGCTTATATCGAAAAGTACATACAACTTTGTATATTAATGAACGCTTGGATTGGCTTTACACATCTGATTGATGAAAATGAATTAACATTAAATTTGTTAATTCATTTTGGTTGTAATAAAACATTTGGTATGGTTTTAATCAAACCATACCCCCAAGGAATCTTGTATTTCAACGCGATTTAGACATCTGGAAATTGAAAATTTTGGCATTTGGATGGGAATACCTTAGGCTTGAGCCTCCGTTTGTTCCAAATTATACAAGATGTCTTGAAAATACTGATATTTTGGCCAGAGATCTAAACTGCTCCAATTACATTTTTCCAAATAGAACACCCTGTATATTGGTCCAAATACGGAAAGACCATTAAATTTCTTATGCAACGATATTTACGTTTCTATACCTAAAGTATCAAATTTCCGAAATAAATGGATTTTTGCAAATATTCGATTATTTCGACGTATTTGACAAAATAGTCCCATGAAATTTCATAATAGTTGAAGATTTCGCGATTCTTCAAACTGCGCTTTTTATACAGTTTAGATTTGATTATTAGCAAAATGGAGAGAGACAATTATTCAAAGTTTTAATGAAACTATTTATTTTTCAAGCGCAATGTAATTAAATTGTTGCAAGAACAGGAAGAAAATTCAACGAAATGTATCCTAATTTAAAGCAAATGAATGCAAATAAGTGTGCGTGAATATAAAATAATTTAATTATTTACGACATAAAACGGGATTGAAACAAAGTAAGCGAACGCATAACTGACGATTCCAAAAATATGCCTAATAAACTGTAACTGAACATTTACAATACATGTTCTAAATTACGCCCAGTACTTGCCAAGCTCTTCAAAATTCGTACATTTACAGAGAAGTTTGTGGCCGTCTGTAACTCATCAACATCCAGTTCTCCAATGCATTCGACGGCGCAATTCCACTATGCTGTTGAACGGGGCCTTCTAAACATTTTCTTTTAATTTATCCCACAAGAAAAAAATCAGTGGAGCCAGATCGGGAGATCTCGCAGGCCAGTCCCATTGGTCCAAAGCGTCTAAACCAGCGGACATGAAACAATTCGAAGAGCTCCCTGGTTACTTCCTGATCGCAATGAGCCAGTGCTTTATCCAATTGGAACCAACATGTGCGAAACTCTTCTAGTTTGGCATTTTCTGAATTCAGGATTCTTTGAATGGCACTCTAGACTAGTCCAAATAATTTGCGGCACTTCGAATCGAAGCTTCAGGATATGCATGGAAGTATGCTAAAACATTTACAATGTTGTCTTCATCAGAAATTACAGGTTTTGGTAACTTCGGTTCAGCTTTCAGTTTGGTGCCATAGTTGACAAAATTCTTCCGTGTTTAATTGCTTTAAATTAGGAAACAATTGGTTGAAAGTTCTGCATGTCATTGCAATAGTTTGGTTACGGTCACATTGTCCGTAAGGAATAAACAGTTTCATTAAAACTTCGTTAAACTAATTGTTGCTCTCCATTTTGTTAATAATTGAATCTAAACTGCATAAAAAGTGCATAGGAGCTGACAACAAGTTTGAAGAATCGCAAAATCTTTAACTATTATGACATTTCATAGCGATTTTTACAAATACGTTGAAACAGTAAAATTTGTACTTGTAAAATATTTTATATATTAATAAAAGTAGAGAATATCCGATTACTTTGTTGTACAAATTTGCAGATAGATCGTGCATCGGATTCTCCTTAAGCGTCTAATACGCCATAGACCGTGAATCGCTCTGCATATATGTAATTAAATCATTTTTCAACTAATAATTTTTTTACATGAAACCAAATCGCGCATGAGCAAATACTTGTTATAGTAAAAAGTTGGCGTAATAATTACTAAAAGTAGTACTAGAAACATTTAAAAAACAGCATTTTTTGCAGGATGTATACATTGTCGATCAAGAAATAAATGGTATATGGGTGTGGGTGGGAAAACGTGTTAACGAAAAAGAAAAAAATGAAGCTCTTAGAAACGCTCGAGGTTTTGTGAAGAAGAAAAAATATCCGGGAAACACCAAAGTGACGAGAGTGGTAGATGGTTTGGAACCCATCGAATTCAAAGTCTTATTTAAGCTATGGAAAACCGAGCTACCGAAAGGCAAAGGTTTGTATAAGTATTACCGGAGCATAAACCATCATAATTTAAAAATTGATTTAATATTTCAGTTGCCAAAACGCCCCTGTTGATATCAAAGTTTGACCCGATTATTATGGAAGATCGACCCAGTCTGGCTGCAGAAACTCAACTTATTGACGATGGATCGGGAGGAATGACCTTATGGCGAATAAAAAATACGAGAATAGTTGAAGTGCCCAAGGAAAGACATGGATGTTTTTTCTCAGGCGATTGTTACATTACTTTATACAGTTATCACACCTCCAATGAAGAGAAGCATTTATTATACTGTTGGATTGTATGTAGATTATGCACTTTGCATTTGAAAACCTCATTCATTAAAACCTAATCCATTAAAATATACATATTTCAGGGATCATACGCCTCCCAAGAGGAAATTAATATTACAACATCAAAACTGACAGAAATCGATGATGAACTCGGTCAGTTGGGTTTTCAATGCAGAATAATTCAAGGACGAGAAACTGCCCACTTTTTACAACTATTCAAAGGAAAATTGACCATATTTAAAGGAAAAGGCGTAGATTTTGACGGTAATTATGCGAAACACTACGGGTAGCTGTACAATTTTCTCATAATTATCAAGTTTTTACTTATAATGCAGAAAATAAAGATTTGCTGTTATGAAGCAAACTTTTTAACTCAGTTAAGGGTCAGTTGATCTGAATGAACCAATCATGCGAGATACGTTTTTTTTTTAATTTGTTGTGATTTTAATTGTAATTGTAAATCGCGTTGTAATTTTATAGAAATAGTCTTCATCAATAAACTACAAACTACAAGGTAAATTTGCAAAATCAATATTTTAAGACCTTTTTCGTAGTTTCGTTGTAATTCATTGGAAAAAAATTATTTTTATGTGAAATGTTGTAGATAAAGTCTTGTAAGACGGTTATTTTTGGAAAATAAAATTTTGATAGTATTTTTACTATTTATAGCGAACCAAAACGGCATCACGCATTTTACTTTACTTATTTATTGAAGGGAGCAAATCCAGTTTTGAAGATTCAAAATTCGATAGTTATTTTAACTGTAATTACAATAATTACAAGTGTTATTTTTCTATCGCACAACTTGACTCCTGATTAGAAGAACTTTTTATAAAAGAGTTCCTCTTATCTCTTATCGTACTCTTATCGAAATCCATATTTGAAAATTTTCCTTGAGCATCTAGAAGCGTTTGAGAATTTTTCATATTCCGCTCTCTTGTCACTGTGCATAAACTCTCGCTAAGTTTGAAGGAATTTGTTTTTGTGCCTAATTCTTGTACTTACACAAACAGTCGCGCGATTGAAGTTGTTTGAAGACGGTTTTGTGGCAATGGAAAGTACTTGGTATTTTTCACAAAGGGTCCGAATTGACAAAAAATATATATTTGCTCCGGATTTTTTATTATTAATACTTGAAAAATTATTCCCAAAATTTTGCAGATTTTCTGAACCGGAGTTTTCAGTACCAAACAGTGTTAATTGAATGTTGCGGCCGTTGTACTTTAAGAAATACGCTCTGTTTTGCCTGTCTTGCAAGTCTGAAAATGTTCAAACTTGCAAGTTTTCCTGAAAATAACATGATTATAACATTTTATGCACTCAACCAAAAACGAAATGGAAGCACTGCTGAGGGCTTTCATTGTCTGGCTCCCGAAATATATTTGTTTCGTATGCGTCTTGTTTCTTCTATTTGGTTCACCATCACTTAAACATTTCCATCAGTTTTATACAAACATAAATTCACTCATATTCAACTATTATTCAAGATTCTGGAATGAACTTGAAAAATCCCAATCAGTACCTTTTACAAGTATTTGGATCTACAACATACAGTGCAAAGGCAGAGCAAGTTGATTCTGCAGTATCTTCCTTGAATTCAAATTCCTGCTTCGTATTCAGACGAGGAAAGAAATATTACGTTTGGTGTGGAAACTACTCAACCGGTGATCAAAGGGAAATGGCCAAAGGTTTTGCTGGAAAAGACTTTGAACTGTTGCTTGAAGGTATTTTTTTGTTTATTATATTCACTGAATTATCTTTATTTTCAACAGATTATGTTTGCATTTTAGGCAAAGAAAAGAGCGATTTCTTTACATTTTTGGGGGGTCCTGGAAGTTACCAATCACAAATGGTGCGTAACGATTTCGACATCAGACCACCTCGATTATTTTTTTGCAATTCATCTAAGAAGTTTAGTGGTAATACAACGACCAAAATCAATATCGTGGTAGCCGACATTTCATTTTCTTAATTTTAGTGACGGAAATTTTATTTTTCCAACAAAAAGACTTATTGCCGGAGAATGTGATGTTATTAGATACCAGCTATGCCCTTTACATATGGATAGGCAAACTAAGTACTAGAGAAGACCAAAGACTAAGCATACAAACAGCCTTGCAATATTTACAAAATGATCCTTCCGACCGGGACATGAATATGACAATTATTCATATCAAGCAAGGGAAAGAAACGCCCACATTTATCGGATTTTTTCCCGCCTGGGATAGGAAGCTGTGGAAGGTGATTAACCAATCCATAAAACTCGTATTCCATAAATGAATTGAAACTTATTTTAAATGCATTTCTATATGTATGTGACTACTTGAACATTTTTTAATGGTTTTTTTAACTTTAAACTCATTTAAACAAATTATGCAAGTTTCAGTTAAAATATGTTAATTACTCGAGTTTGCAAACCTGATTTTGCACACACAAGATTTTTTTTATTATTATCTCATTAAGATTTTAAAAAAGTAAGCTCATTTCAATCAAGGGCTCCAGGGTGGGGGGTCATGGGTGTTATTTCTACTACTCGAAAGCTGGATCAGCTGCTCATCAATGTATGATATTTAAATTTCGCTTTTTGGTGTAGTTATGTATGAATAGAATTTTCAATTCTTTATCCAACGATGCCGAAACGCATTCTGTGGCTCAAATGGTTCTTGAGAACTTTCGAAAAACCAGCATCATGTTTGAGTCGATTTTGCAACTCAAAAAAAAAACACGCAAATCTGAAACTTCTTGAAATAAACACTTTTCTGAAAAAACTTCCAACATTTCCTTATTGATGGATCACTTTGTAAAAAGGCCATTTAGTTCTCTGTGTAATGATGTAAAAATCAGCGTCCTTTCTCATTTTGCTTCCGACAAATGAGCAAAAACGTAACGGAAAACATGAAATTTTGACATAATCTTGCACCTGAATGTCTGATATTCAAATTCGACTTCCTGGGACTAAACTACTTCAATTTCCGCCAGGAAATCAAGAAGATATATTTATTTGTTCTATTTTTTGTTTTTATATTTATTTGTTCTGTTTATTGAATAATCCAATAAACTGACCATTCTAAACAGATTCTAAAAAGAAATTAAAACCATTCTCAAAAGAAAGTATGAAATAAAATTTAGTACTAAAATGTGATTGATGCGCATTCATCAGTAATGCAAGAAATAATGTAAAATAGTTTACTAATCATTTCTCAATTAAACAAATTGTTATTTTGAATTTTCGAAATGAAAATAGAAAATTTTGAATGCAATGAATTAAGCAGCATTCCACGCGAAAACTGAAAAATATTTCAAACTGTTAACGGAACTGGAAATCAAAGCTACAAAGACGTTTCGACAATGTTTAAAAGTATGTCCTACGGAAAATTCAACTATAGAAAAATTTTCCAATTTGTAAAATCAGCAATGGAGTTACAGAATAGCAGGGTTGTTCTTTAAATTGGTTTTAAAGCAGTTAAAACCAACAAAACCAAACAAAAGGTTTTGTAGCTTGATTCTTATGATAATCATGTATTCTGTTCAAATATTTACATCATTCCAATCTTGTTTCACCAACTTGTTATAAAAATCTTAATGCATCTAATGCAATATACCCGATTGCACAGCTACCCAAATTTGAAGCGACGCATGATACGCACATTATTTATTAATTACTTTAACAAAGTCATCAGCTAATGGACTTGAAAGCGATTCAAAATCCTCGTTTAGTTTAATGAAAAAACAATAATGTAGCAATGTAATGTATAGCTTTTAAAATTGTATTGCTATGCGTTCCAGAATAAGAGAAATTGTTACTATATTTAATAACCTTTCTTATAGGTTGAAGCGTAGTAATAGATGATATAGATTGTGGTTTTTTAGTGCGATAGAGTGCATTATTTCCGATGATGTCTTCGACTTTCGAAAAATAGTTTCATATAAAACTTGTTGACGCACAAGGTGCACACATTTTAAAAATATCTTATATGATACAGAGTGTCTCAAAAAAGCGAGGCAAGATCAACGTGTATTTTTTTAAATAGAACTACCCATTTCTTATTAGCTGATGGAATGTAGCTTGAAGCGCTGCATATGCACCGTAAATTGTTTTTTCTTAATTGCCACGTTGGCAGATTATCGCCATTTTAGTAAAATTTTGCTTAAAACTATGGTATCTAAAAATTCATTGTAGAAGAACTTTTGTTTTTCAAATGGAAGTACTTGTATATTAATACATCATTAGATAGACAATGTACAAAGTTACAAATTTGTATTTACACTTTAAGCTGTGAAATCAACCGTTTTCAAATTATAAATTATTTTATTTAAAAATTTCAAAAAGTTGTTACATTTTGTAAGGTGACTATGGAATTCATTAAATTAGCTCGCTTTTCTGAGACACTCTGTACCATACAGGACATTTTTTAAATGTGGGCACTTTGTGCTTCAACAACTTTTATATGAAACTATTTTTCGAAAGTTCAACACCGTCGGAAATAATGGACTCTATCGCACAAAAAAAAACACCGTGTATGTATGCCATTAATAATCACAGTTCGTTTATTGGATGTGGAAACAGTTGAGTTTTTCTGGAATGTTTGGCTACCAGAAGTATCAGATCTGTAGATAATATTTGTCTTTGTCTATGGCCTAAGGAGTAGAATGATGCTAAGAGAAAATTTCATTTGATTGAACAAACTTCAACTTTCTTACACTAAGCTCAGTAATGAATCACTCAATTTATGCATTTTATGACGAATGGAAAGAAGTACATTTTGCCATTTTTCGGAGAGCTTCCACCATTATCAAGATGCGTTACCGGACGCAGCCACAGCACTGGTAGAGCACAAAATTCTCTACTGCCAATAAACCTGAAAACGAAATAAGCACCTTCTTTCCTCAATTCTTCGTATATCCCATATGTTTTAAAGCATTAAAATAGATCGAACAATATATAAGAAGACATAAGAACAGCATTGATATAATCCGTTTCTATAATATATATATTATCATGCAATATGACCAATAATTAATAAAATAAATAATTAAATGATTCAATTGCAGTACTACAGAACGTTTTCCAAGATTCGGCAAGAAATCGAATTAAAAAATACGGACCAAAAGCCACAGAACGGGCACCAAAGCCGCAACAATACATCCGACAATGGTGATTTTGATCACTATGAAAAGTATCCAATCAATATTTTAAAGGAACCAAATGATCGATTACCGGCTAGTATTGACTCCCTTAACAAAGAGGTAACATTAATTTAAATCCTACAAACGTTAATATTTCAAATATTTTCCAATTGTTTTGATACTAAAGATCACTAGATAATAAAATACAATTTAATTTCACAATGAAATGTTATAAAACATTTTATTTTAGTTGCATCTAACACATGACGACTTTGTTTCGCTTTTTAACATGACATACGTTGAATTCGAAAAATTACCAAGATGGAAAAAACAGGAAATGAAGAAAAAAGTGGGTTTGTTCTAAAAATATTCTGACAAATCTCTTTTTAATGTATGTTTAAATAAATGTTGTATTATTTCGTGTAGCAAGAAAATAGCAACATACTGTTGCTATTTTCACTCAATTATTTCCAAAAATAAATTATTTTTGCAAATAAGTGTTTAAGTTTTATTTATTTTACATAGAAACTTTTTTGCTCAATGGGGAGCATGCCAAACTTTCAGAAATTTTGCATTGTTTCATTTTCCGCCCTGTAGGAACTTTATCTGAAGTACTGAATCTTTGCCCACGGATTGAGAGGAAAATTAGTATGTCTTCAAAAAAAAATATGTGCTTAAGACCACACGATAGAAGTGAAAACTTCAACAAGCAGGGCAAGGCTGTAATAATTAATAGTATGAAATAAATATATTTTTTTCTAAATATTTTCACCAAGTAAAATAACATTTACAATATCGTGGGCTTCAAGCTAAAAGTGCCCAAGTCCAAAATTGCCGTGTTTGTGTTTGGTTGGTTTAAAAAATTACTTATTTTTTTTAGGTTAAAATTAAAAGACCAAATTTTAAAGCATAAAATACAAAAATATTTTCGGTAATTCTTATATAATTTTCGGGTCGGTTTAAAACTGCATTTAGCAAAAAAATAATTTTAGACATGGTCAGCTTTAAGCCCACGATATAATGCAGTTATAATTGAATATAAATTACTATGACAAGAAGGATATAATAAATTACTATGGTACACTTTGCTCTAACTCATCGTAATTCGTATCATATTCTAAAATTGAAACAATGGGTTTGTGATAACTGAGATATGCTATGAACACTTTTGATTGAAATCAATTTTTATAGATACCTAACAAAAACTCCGTCAATTGTTGTACCATATTTTCCTGGCGGTACTGCAATACCAGGCCAACCCGCGACAAAGGTGGAGCAATCCCCTAACTTTCGTCAATTTCCAAAAATTAGATTAATATACTAGCCCCGCATGCGGGGCGTTTCAGATATAAAGCCGATAGGAACAGATTAAATTTTTATTCAGCGAATATTTACAATTATGTATGTGACTGAGCAGAGATAAATAGGAGTGTTCCGTGATGGGACAGCTCCTGTGAACTTATTTGTTACATTGAATAATTTGATGGCGAGGTCAGCTACCCAGGCGGTTCACCTTCATATTGCTTCCAGCTGTGATCTGCTCTATGTAGATGTCGCGGCTTCATCGTATGGCATCGGACCACATCAGGCGTCGCATAGCGTGGCAGTAGTGGCGGCCTATTCCCAAGTGGGCGAAGACGCGCTCATTGGTCCCAGCCTCCAAGTGTCCCGACAATGAAGGCGTTTGTAAACACGCTGTATCCCGGTTGTTGAAAGTGGTTAGTGGCGATGTCGATTATGGTTGCCAACTTGGTCTTCTCATTGATGATGACCAGGTCAGGCCGGACGTTGTCACCCAGGTCTGGGATGGTTGTGCAACACGGATTGTTGTATCTGGTGGCGGCCTAAATGCCTTTATAATCCGGTTTAGAATGGCGTTGTGGCGATGCCTGATGGCAGTGAGGTGTGGGTTGGAGTGGTTAACTACGTGTGGCAGGGTTTCCTTGGCGTGGCAACAGCGGCGACACTTCTGATCGGTTGTCCCAAATCGGCGGGCTCCGTTGAGTGGGGTGCAGTTAAGGCGGGCAATGGGGGAAATAAGGCAAGGTTATAAATCTCCATTCGTCAAAACGGGTGAAGTCGCCGGTCCTCATAAAATTGTTTGGAGGAGTGGTGGTAGTGGTGACTTCGAACACCTTGCCTTGATCGGTTTTGCTGGTATGCCGGCTTCCGCTTCCTTTGTGGGCAGGGTGGCACCGTCAAGTTGGAGCTGGAGCTGGTTGGATGCGTCCATCGCCCAGCCAATACTGATCTTGCTCCTCAGGCGGTGGGTGGCAGACCGCAGGCGGGTCCAGGTGTTGGTGATGCTGGTAGATTCGTTGGCAAATTTGTCCACCATGCTGCCATTAAGGTAGGCTGCCACGTCGCATGGCTGCAGGTCCCTTCGCAGTCTTCTCCTTACCACGGCTTTGAGCGTTGAGTTGGCCAGAGGCTGGAGAGTCGGAGATCGTAAGATGAGGAGGAGAAGATGACAAGATCAAAAGCTTTTTGACGCTGCGAGAAGATGGGAAATCAAAGCACCAGAGAGAAGGAAGTCATATTATATATGCGAACTGCAAGTATTGATCCGACGGCAAAACTGGCCCAGGCGTTATCA